TAGCACCAGAACCCCTGACTCTGGGGCTATGAATTTCACAATTTTGATAGAGTCACCCTTGCTTATCATAACTATGTATTTAATTTGTTTAAACAATACCCAGGAGTAGAGAAGAAGATTTTCAAAGAAATAATGCACTTTCACTATAAGATCTATATAGCCCCCCCCCCCAACACCAGAACCCCTGACCCTGGGGCTATGAATTTCACAATTTTGGTAGATGGCCCAATGCTTATTACAACCATGTCAACAGTTTGACTGATTGATGTCCAGGAGTAAATAAGGAGAAGATTTTTAAAAATTGCATTAATTTTGGGGGTTTTAGCCCCACCCCTCAGGTCCCAGGGGGGCAGGGACCATGAAATTCATAAATTTTGTTCCCCTTCACACATAGGTGCCATATGCTAAAATTGGCTGAAATTGGTTCAGCGGTTTCAGAGAAGAAGATGAAAATGTTCAAATGTTAACACACGACGCACAACATACGACGGACGACGGACGACGCACGACGACGGACGAAAACAGATAGCAATAGGTCACCTGAGTGACTCAGTTGACCTGACAAAAAGCCAAACACACAAGCCATTCCCATTGCTGACATTTGAAGGTCGTTAGATTTTCCTTCACTTATTCGGTTGTCAATATGGGTCATACAAATTGAAAGTGCATTAAAATCTGAGTGATCACAAAAATAACTGTAACTCTTGCAGACAGAAATAAGAGAGGGAAGGAGGGAGAATTGTGGACAGTGACAGGAAATGATTCTTTTTAACTCTATTCTGTTACAATTCCATGACTCCATGCCACTCTAAACCTTTTTATAGCATTTCCCCAAATTTAACTAGAAAAAGGGTGATGTAAAAATATTTACGCAAAATGAGGAATAAAAACTGTAAAATGACAATCAAATCATCAAATATCAACAAAGAGGATGCCTTGCACTTTGATGGTAAAAAAAATGTACGAGAGTCGTTCAATAAATAATGCAAAAGGTCATCTAAAAGTAAGAAAAGTACTTAATACATACTCTCTATTTTAAATCCTTCAAAGCATTCTTAACTGTTACCCTTTACACATGTCTTAGGTCTTTGTACCTGTGGCCAGAAAAGCATACTTATCTTTAGGGATGCCCCAAAGACACTGATGAAAGCAACTTCTTATAACATATCTGATATTGTGCAATCTTCCATTTATTGTTTTCATGCATTTTTAGAATAAACAGATCTCACAATGGCGGAGATCTGGCCGATATGGAGGATGACACAGTTCTGTAAACTTTCTTTTCTTCAAGATTTCATTTATTTCTCTATGCTAATTTGCAACAGCATTGTCAGGTACAGGAAAATTACCCTGGATACCGATATTTAGACTTCATTTGCAGGAAATCTTTTTAACTTTCCTTAGTACAATTTGAACATAAAAGTTACCATAGTCCTTCTTTGGGGTGTTTGTACATGTCTTAATGGACATCTTGAAAAAAAAATGAAAATTAATAAAACATCTTTTGAGCTCTTGCTTCCCTCTACAATAATAAGACCACAGCTTTTTCTTTGATGTCACATTTTAATACTAAATAAATTTTCCTTTTCGGTTAAAAAAGTAATCCCATGTTTTGTCATCAATCACACAAGTTTAACAAATCTTCAATTTGTTAAATATTCTTTTCTAAATAAACCGTTGGCACATTTAAGGCATGTTATGTCTGTGGAAAATAATTGTGTCTGTAAGAAAATAAGGCACCTATCTGATAAAAATTTTATTACATTCATTTCCTTTGTCAAAATTCTATCAAATGTTGTGATGATAAAATGCTTAGTGTCTAAGCAATGTCTAAGAGATCATTTTTAAACAGTTTTCAGCTCAGTGTAGTGACCATGCTTTATTTGAAAGAGAATTTCTTTGCAAGGATAATAGGAAAAATCACCAGGTTTTCAGTGATTGGGGGCTGTTTAACGAAACTTTTCAACTGTGAAAAAATAAAATTTAATACTTCTATATTTATTATGATATACTGTATGTTGCATCATTTATTAAACAACCCTCGTACATGCACAGATCATGGATTTATTTCCAGGGTGATTCCCACATCAACTCTAACAAAATGTCAAACATGGTAATTAATTTTCTTCAAATAAATGACTCCATTTCTTCAATATTTAGGAGGGTCCCATGTGTTTCCAGAGGGTAACAATGGGTAAGGTAGGTTGGAGTTTAGTTCAAGAAATTTTTTTACCTGGTAATAGAAATTCGATAACTGAAAATCCTGCCCCCACCATATTCAAATATGTGGTAGTTAAACATAAATCATGCATCTTAATAATTCACATCCCAGTGCAGCTGTTAGCTAAAAAAAAAAAAAAAAAAAAAAAAAAAAAAAATCTAATAATTGCTATTTATCTGTCTGATATTAAAGCTGTCAACACTTCTAAATAGGTTTATTGGTTTGGGATAGGATTTAAGCCTAGTTTCGATGTCGTTTATGTATCACCTAGTCTTTGTTATGAAAACATTTTTAGGAGATCCTCAGCTGACATTTAAAGGTCATAATCTTTTTGTTTATTTTTTTTTTCTAATGAATCTTTTGTTTCTTATTTCATTCTTTTTGCACAAATCCAAAATCACATTGCAAGGAAGTGATTGTACAGTGTATGTTAGGGAAATGAAATTGTTTTTATAACTTTCTGTACTGTTATAATACAGACTCCACTCCATGACTCCCCAAGACTCCGCTCCACTCCACTCCGCTTTTTACCCCAAGCCATCCTAAGTGTAGGGAGGTTCGACGAGACGTTATCGAAATTCAGTACTTTCGTTTTGAGAGTGGATTTCCGGTCTATTTTCCGAAAAACTTTCTTTGTAGCGGGAGATCTGGAGAGGTGTGCACAAATCAATTTTTCAAATGTACGTATCATTTTAGCAAGAAGCAGTTGTCATTAACCATCTTATGAATTATATTTGTGAATTTAAAAGAAATGAATAACTTGTTTTATGTTTGATAGCGAACTGAATGCCTGAACATGCAGCATTGATTTAATTTTAGATTTTGAATTCTGTAAACATCTTGACCGCAATATTAGGCGTCGCCCTGAAAATGAAATGCGCTTTCTTAAATTGTATACTTTTTAGAGACATTCATTAAATAATAGGCTAGAATCTTTCAGCCATAATAATATATACGAGGATTGAATATTAAAAAATGTTACACATAAGGTCTAGGTAACTGGCTGCATCAAATCATGACCTTGATATTGAAAGATGCTAGGCCCAACATTATTTTAAGCCCAATACCAAATTCCCATCTTCATCTAGGCCTATAGCTAGATATTCCGTATGCGTTTTTTTTTTGTTAATTCACTGGCGGATTTAAGGGGGGCGCATCCGGCGCCACCCCCCCCCCCCCAACTGCCAAAGTTAGCGTAAATTATAGTTTCGTCAAGAAAATGTAAAAATGAAATGAGCAATGTCTTTTACAAGTTGTTATACTATCCATTGGCATATCTTTTCTTTATTATTGTAATAATTTTATACTTGTCTGTTGTGGGCTCTAAATTAGAAAATAAATGTTCTGTTCTGTTCATCCTGTATCAGCCCAATTAAGACACCAATATCAGCCAGATGTTTTATTATGCTTATTAATTATTACATATATAGTAATAAAATACAACACACATCAACTTGCGAAAATACAAGTAAATCATTATACACTGACTACTTACATGTAGCTTATCATGCTTATCATATCAGAGAATAGTAATTCAAAATTAAGAGAATGTGATCGAAAAAATAGGTATACTATCTTTTAAGGCTTAAAATCTAAAAGACCTAAAATGTCTCTATTAGATTTTAAAGAAAAAGGTCATAAACATGCACGAAACATTCTTCAATGGCTTTATGTGAACTCGCATATTAAGTATTTAAAATATATGATAAATAGAATACTACATACTGAAATCCATTCATATGTCATATCAGCCCTCGGACCCCATATCAGCCCTCGGGCTGATATGAATGATATGGATTTTAGTATGTAATATTCTATTTATCAGCCCTGCAGATTCACGTCAGCCCTGCATGATTTGTATCAGCCCTGGAAGCTTATATGACTATTGTGATGTCAGGCATATGCAAAAACCTGTACGTATGCTTGCATCCCTTAGTAGATAAAATGGATTGAAATTTGTTCAAATTATGCTCCCCGGGGTTAAAGCGGGGGGCCACAAAAGGGGATCAGATCTAGAGATAGTCGTATTGAAGTATCCCCATTTTGTCTGGATTTAAGGTCATACAAATTGTGATCCCTTGTGCTAATCTGGGGTAATAATATGGGGGTCAAAATATTTCTTGAGTAAAAAAAGGGAATTTCTTTTTATAATTTCTTCTTTAGAAGAACAACCATCGTCAAGTTATAGTAAGATAAGCGAAACCAGCCTTAGGTTTCTTACAATGAAAAACAATAGGGCCAAGGTGATTCAGGTAAGAGTTACTGCCCATAGTACTTCTGGTTCATCAAAGACGTGTTGTTCAAGTCATAGGTCTTACATAATCTAAATTTAAATCTGCCCTAAACATTCAATTGAAAGAAGGAGTGCTTGTATAGTAAATAACATTTCCTACAGTATATTTTCTACTCATTGTATGTGAAGGATATACATTATTAAGACTATTATACATGATAACATTGTATTCAATTATATCAGACCAAGTTAAAAGATATATACTTAATATATGTATAGTACCACTAACAATGTTTTTGTTAAATTAAAATTCTTGTGTGGTTTGTTTTGCAGGTCTGTTGTTTCTTTGCAGAGAGATGACTACAAGAGACCCGGCAAATTGCTTTACTTTTACTTTCAACTTTATGCCTGATGCAATTCATAAAGATTAAAATCAATACCTGTGATAATATTATTATTTTTTATCGTATATTACATATAGCAGTAATGAATTATATGAATTTCACAAAAAATAATATTTTTTAAAATTCCAATTTTTAGTTGCCAAACTATCCTTTCAATGTATACAAAGTTGAAGCTTGCCCATTGAACAAAACTCTGTGGGATATAGCCTCAAAGAGTCTTAAATGCAGAACAGACAGCACCAACAAATATAGATACCATTGTCTACCTAACAGTAACCATACAAAACTTGTGGAGTTTTGTTTTAATGCCACTCGATATGGTACCCCTCAAATAAGTAAGTATATGTACTATTAACATTTTTTTTGGGGGGGGGGGGGGGGGGGTTAAAATTTAAAAATTAATAAGTCAAGAGGCCCATGGATCAAAATGCTCACCTGAGGTAAATTGAAGACATAGCGATGATCTGTTGTTCATATTTAATCTTTCAAATGTCTTTTATGGTTAATTCACTTATTTCTGTGGGGTTTAGTTTTCATGGCATGAGGGATAAAATATTGTGGTAATGATACATGTACCTCCAGCAAACAGAGTTTGGGGGAGTATATATGAATCACCGTGTCCGTCCATCCATTTCTCTAGTTGTCTGTTTGTCTGTGCAATCTTGTCCCGATTATAACTTTGTAATGGAGAATCATTGGAAGTTCATACTTGGTACAAAGATTGCTTATGACCTGAAGGTGCCAAAACAAACTTGACCCAAGGTCATTTAAACTCATTTTGGCATGTTCAACAGTCAGGGGTGAGACTGAAATCCGTCATTTTTAAAATGACGATTTTTAGTCATAAAATAAAATTTTTATTATGACTTAAACTCGTCATTTTTTAGAAAATGACAAAAAACAGTCATGTGATCATTAATTTTATTTAGTAGATTAATTTCAGATTCAGTAGAAATTATGCAATACAATGACCATTTAATATGTATTTATATCTGATTTTTCTTAAGTTTAATGTTAATTTATGTCAAACATTAATGGTCACTGTAATGACTATATTGCACAACTTCTACTGAACCTGAAATTAATCCACTAAATAAACAAATGCACTTGATATTTATGAATATTTAATTGACAAATTTACAATTAATATCTGCAGACATTGTGTAGTTATAAGGGAGTGTCTTTCTTCTACAATTATCTACTGTTGACTTTTTTAAAATTCAAAACACAGTTGCACCCCTCTCCCCATTTTTGTTCCAAACCCTCCCACTTAATGCAGTGATTTCAAGTGTTGCCTTAGTAAACTGCAGATTATGATTTTTCTTTCATTTTTCTGCAGCATTATGGTATATACTTGCAATAATTTATTATTTGTATGCTCTGCAATTTTCTTAAAAAATTGATAATTTTGAAATTCTTTTCAGATGATGCATTTGATTGCTATGTGCTGTCAGGAACGGGGGATCTGAATCGATATGCTTGCACAAATTCCTCCAATAGTTGTCCAAAAGGTTTCTACTATAGTGATGAAATTTACAAGTGTAAGTATCTTAAATTGTGAGTTGTAGAGTTTTGTAATGCCAAAATATAGTTAGAATAATCTAACTGTGTCTTGGGACAAGCCCTCACCACAGTTAGAATATGTCCCATATACTTGCAATGTAGCAAATTGGAGCAAATCCGCTCTGAAGTGATTTTGAAGTATACAAAAGGAGCTGCACTGAAAATAACTACCAAATTAATCATAACAAACCATTTTGAAATTGTTTATGCCTTTTAACCGAAAAAATAATCCATATAAAGATGAAAATTCAATTCATTTTCTCAATGCTTTTTCTCGTTTCAAATTTACATGCCATGTTGACATTCGGAACTCTCTGGATTGATCATAGTGAACGCACTGAGTTCGAGTTATCGCCCATGTTTGTTTTGCTTTATTCCCAATACAGGGAACAAATTCTGTCGTTAAACCGGTTCTGTAGGACAATATCATTTTAACGATAGAGCAAAAATATAGCTTTTTCTTAGTTGTAAGTTAAAACCAGTTTTGAAGTGTGCACATTGATTTTGCAATTTTTTTTAGATCCTGATTGTTTTCTGATAAATGATTCTTCTTTGGGTGGCTCCACCAGTACAGATAGCTCTAATATTAGGTAGGTTTTAATGCCATTAGTATCATAGAAGGAAACTTTTAAATTGTTATCACTTTTGAAAATATCTTTCCAGTTACTATCTGAGTAATGTTCAGGTATGTAGTAGGGTACAAGATTTATAAGCATGAACGTTTTATGTTTGGTTCCTTTTAAATGCTTAAGGTTTTTGATCAAAAATTACAATTATAGTAGTTTTTACTGACAGCACCCCCCTCCCCCCAAGACAGTAAGAAAAAGCTCCCTAAAACTGATAAACTGAGTAATGTTTTATGTTTCTTAGAGTAGTCTACTTGACTGTGTACTGATTTATGTAATCAGACTGAAGCTGTAAAGAACTGATCTAACAGACTTTTCACAGAATTTTTGTGTTGCCTACAAATTAAGACAACATGTCTTGCTGTCTGTTCATCTGTCACACCATACCTGTATATCTTAGAAAACTGTAAGAGGTATAGATTTGCTATTTTGCACATCTATTGCAAATCTATTGTTTGGCTCTGAAGTGTTTGTGAAATACCTTAATTAATGGTCTAACTTGACCTTTGACCTACTTGTCATAATTTTTAGCAATTTCAATTTTTATGCCCCCCTTCAAAGAAGGGAGGGCATATTGCTTTGCTCATGTTGCTGCAGTCTGTTGGTCGACCAACAGTTTCCATTCATTTTCTTTGCAGAGGTTGTACATACTGAAATGAAATTTGGTATACAGATTTATCATAAGAATATCTAGGTCAAGTTTTGTTTTGGGTACTATCACTCAATTTTAGACAGAGTTATGCCCCTTGGACTTAGAAAAATTCCAATTATTTGTAGTTTCCCTTCATTTTCTTCGCAAAGGTTGCTAATACTGAAATGAAATGTGGTATACAGATTTATTATAAGAATATCTAGGTCAAGTTCTGTTTTGGGTATGATCGAGCAATTTTTGACAGAGTTATGCCCCTTGGACTTAAAAAAATTCCAATTATTTGCAGTTTCCATTCATTTTCTTCACAGAGGTTGCACATACTGAAATGAAATTTAGTTTACAGATTTATCATAAGAATATCTAGGTCAACTTCTTTTTTTGGTACGATCAAGCAATTTCGGACAGAGTTATGCCCCTTGGACTTGGAAAAATTCCAATTATTTGGGGGGGGGGGGGGGGGGGCATTAGTGTTTTAACAAACATCTCTTGTATCATTTATTTTTGGTTTCAGATTTGGAGAATCCTATTCCTATTTTATTGTCAGATTCTCTATATAGTAGTCATACATATACTATCCATGGCTGTTTTTTCTTTTAATTTTTTAAAATTAATTCTTTGCAGTCATTTTCTCCAAGAACTAGTAGCAATGAAATAGCTAACCATGCACTTTTTAAAAATTAGATTTGTTCACTTTCTTAATGATGCTATAAACAGGCAACAAGAGAGCTCCTTGGAACACTCTAGTTACAAACTATGTATATACAAGTAAGGGCGAAATGATTACACGTGTAAACGGCGACGTTTCGATTATATGCTCTAAACGTTTACAGATTGAGTAAACGTTTACATGAAGGTTATTATCAATGTCTATCAGAAATAAAGTTTAACACAAACAAGTTGTTTTATATCATATTTACCAAAGAAACACCGTCTTTGACGATTTGATAAGCAACTGTTTTCTGTTTTAATCGATACCGGAAACATATTAAACAAAAATATCTAAAACCTGATACGGTCTTAGACTAACATATTTAATTCCGATTTTCGAGTTGCGAATACTAGCGATGTTTTATGACTTTTGAAATATAAAACTTGATATACTCTGATTTAATAAATATATACGTTTTCACCAGTCTGTGAAAAGTGTTTCAATACACTCAGCAGGTCTTGTTATACTTAATTCGGGATTAAAAGATCCATCTTTGCAGTTTAATTTTATAATGCTTTTTCTACGTCCAGTATGTAGCCAAACATATTGGGTGACGATGTAGAAAGTGAATGCGTTTAATGCACCTCAAATTCTTTCGTCATACAGTCAGGGGTGAGACTGAAATCAGTCATTTTTAAAATGACGATTTTTTAGTCATAAAATAAAATTTTTATTATGACTTAAACTCGTCATTTTTAAGAAAATGACGAAAAACAGTCATAAAAATTTAGAGTGTTTCTAGAATACCGAGTTACCTCTCTTTGAAAAATGTTAGATCCACCAACCGAAAAAAGGACAAAAAACATCGTAAACAAACTTGATTTCTCCAATACAGTTGACTACAATACTGGTTATGTCGACAGTACAAATTTCCCAAGCAAAAATAAGAGTGGAAGAGTTATTTGTCAATTTATTTGCATTAAATAGGAAAGAAGACGAAAATGACGATATGCCGTCTTTTTTCAAAATGGAGGGTCTGGGCGCACTGAAATATCTCGCTTGTTTTACGGGGCGCACTACTTTTTTATGGCTTTAACTTTTTGTCGAGACTTTTCTCTACAAGTACGTATTCTTCCAGACGGTGTACTATATGTTTTTATAGGTTTAAAAGCCATGTAAAAATGGCGAATTAGTTCTACCAAAATTTGACATTTTACCGCTAAATAATAACTTTCACCTTCCATGTTGATGTTCTAACGCACGTGGTCGGCAGTAATTAGTGACCTGGATGAAATGAAACTTGCGTAAACACTCTTCTTTCAGCGGTGAATTCAAACTTCGCTTTTATGTAAGCAGGCTAGAAGAATTAAGTTGAAAAAGAAAATATGACGATAGTAAGTCATATTGACAAAAATGACGAAAATACGTAGTTAGTAATTATGACGATTATCCATCATTTTTCAGAAATGACGGATTTCAGTCTCACCCCTGACTGTCATAAGGAGCAACAAATAAATAGTAATAACAACTCATACCTACATTAAAGTGAAAGAATTGTTTATTAAATTAGAGCTTCATGAGTAAGTAGCCATGAAAATTCAACACAGAATATTCTCCCGTTTAAACGGTACCGTTTCGTTTACTGCTGTCCGTTTAAATGTTTACAAAATTCAGTAAACGTTTCACCCTTATATACAAGAGAAGAATTTTCTTGATAACTGAAAGGCAATAATTTAGATATTTATATTGAAATATTCCAATGTCATGTGGTTTCAGAGATCCCTTGAAAATAATAAGATGGGGTAATAATTATGGGGATTTACATTTTTTCATCGCAAAATCTTTTTAGATATCCCCTGTAAAAAAGCAGGGCTTAAGTTACTCTTGTGAGCATTTTTGCCCACGAGATTCTTGTATATCAGCTGTTATAGTCAAAGATTTGTATAGAGAGACTTGTTATAATTTTTTTTTTCAGTCAGACAACCGTTAAAATTGCTGCTACCTGTATAACAGCTGCGATATTTGTCATAGTCCTCCTAACAGTGTTATTTTTCTGGAGGAGGAATCGAAAAAGGGGAAAACATGTTCAAGATAAAGAAAGCATTTTCTACAAAGTTAATTGTTGGAGGCATGGAAAACAAGCAAAAAAGGAAATTGGTACCTTTGTAAATTTTTACTTTCCCTTTAAAACAATATTTATTCATATATATTTATATAATATATATAAATGATATCATATATATTTCACAATAAGGTATTTCATGTTTCTAAATGTCAATACTTCTGGTAAGGAAAGGAAGGCATTTTGTTTAAAGAAAAGTTGTTTAAGTTTTTTTCTTATTTATGCTTTAATGAGTTTTTGCATTTCATAGGTGAAGTGGAGGATACACAGATGAAGTTAATAGCAGGTACTTAATATTACAGTCATACTTAAGTCCATGTTTTTATTACTGTTCATCATGTTTTAGAGTTCATTAATGGGGGACCAGCCTCTCAATGAACATTTTATACTGAAGTCCTTTGTGTTCAGAAAGAGAGGTTTTTTTTTTTTTGGGGGGGGGGGGGGGTAAGTCCTCTTTCCGATTATATGTGCCTGAATGTTATGTTAACTAGACTGGAAGAAGGGTGCCAGTGAAATAACTTGCCAAAATGGTTTTTATCAATTTGGATTTTCTATATTTTTTATCCAACCTACAAAAAACAAAATTAACCCTTATGTTGATGTGGAAGGTCATGTGGAAGGGGAATATAACGTAGTATTTTTTCTACAATGTTGAATCTCAGCCAATCAAAGAGCTAGGAATTTGTGTATGTTTTTGTTTATATGTGTCACAGAAAGCAATCATATCACTCATAAAGTCTTGAAACACTAAATCATGCATAACTCCTAAAGTTTGGAGGGTAATTTTATAGGTTTTTAGCATGTTTTGGTAAGTGATACATGTAGTTTATTATATTTTGCAAAGCCTAAATTACACTATGTTTGCCAGCAAAAATTGAAAACTGAAAAATGAAAAGAATAAATAAAAGATGTAAACTAGAATTTGGAGGAAAAGCTGAAATCCTGATGATGTGTCTGCTAATGGAAGACATCATTGGTCTATGGATCAGTTGTGTGACAGGCAATAGATCACCAGTTAATAGATAAAAAATGTCAAAACAAATTATTCACAGAATCGGACTATTAGTCAAAACTATAGTACATGTAATATAGAACAGCAAATTCTGCATACATGTTAACCTACTGTGATGAAAAAGAGGGAGAATGAGGTGTTGTGCGCAGTGCTTTACTCTTTGAGTTTGAGATATGTGTGTAGAAATTGTCTCAAATGACCACTGCAGTAATTAAAATAAAATGCATGTCAAGTGCAATTAAGTGGACAAAAACACTACATAAATTATGCAAATAAATATTTTTCATGCTCATAAGTTAAAGCTTTGAGTCAGTGGCTGCTTTAGCCTTTTTAAGAGTGATTTTTGCTGATACAGCCTGAAAGCAATAATTGTCAATGTTCATTAACTGTCAAATAGAGCAAACGGTGTCATTATATAATTCAGATCTAGGTACAGTCCACTAATACATTTCCCATAGGCGACAGAGTTGACGTTATCTCAAACAGCTCCTCCCCTAATTTTCGTTGAAGGATGGGACACCCTTCAAATGAAAGCTTGTCAAATTCTCTCTCACTTCTTAAACTCTCGAGGTGGCATGTCAGATTAGTTTTCCGGCAAAATGCACATGTTCGCAAAAACATCTGAAAATGAAAGTAAAAGTAGGGTAATTCCCAAAGTCAGAAAAGTTATCATAAAATTCAATTCCTTTCCTTCCAAAGTTAACACAAAAATGAAAATGGTTTTGAACGTGGAATTTTCTCTTCTTTCATATATGTCAAGCATCTTTAGTTCAGACGACCTACTTATTTTATATACTGCTTGAAATTTAAGGAACTATTTCGTTTTAGTGAACTACTTTCTTCCCTACCGATTTTAGAAATAATTAGAGGAATGTACCCATCTAAAACTTTATTGTATTTAGTAAAAAAGAAGATTGGATTTCTCGCGAAAAAGTAATTAAAAAAGTAATAAATTAATCCTGATTCCTTTTTTCACTTTGATGAACAAAGTCAAGCATTTTCATCCAGGTTTTAGAATACTATCTCTCCCTTTTTCTTGGCGAGGGTGTTGATGAAATTTGTTGTAATCAATGTAATCACGGGGATGTGTGTACTAGTCATTGTCAGAACATGTGCTCGAAACATACTGTGTTAACATCAGTATGGAAAAAAGTGTCTGTACATGTTGTATGCTCCGAGTTAAAATCACGCGAGCTCTTTAAAATTCAATGAGATTTTATGACATAGTGGCTTCAAAAATGGCTATCCAAGAGAACTAAAACCAAATTTATAGAAAAGCGGTAATTTTTTAAATAAAAGCGGTAGATGGGAGATGGAGTTAAAAAAGCGGTAGACTTCTGCATAAAGCAGTAGAGTTAACATGTATGAATTCTGAGTTTTGGGAAATAAACAGCATAAAAAGTAATATATGCTAAGGTAAAACTACATAGATATATACATGTCAGGTCTGCAAATGCAAGCACAAAAATATTTTCAACAATTAATGATGTAGCAATGTACCACTTTTTCATCGAAAATAATGCCTCTTTACTTACTGCACTGTATATACCTTGTATTTATACCTTGTATCCTTAAATTTTATAAACAGAATACTACTTCTTGTCACAGGGTGACACAATTACTTGTTTTTATTTTATTTAGAATTACTAGTAGTACAGATAGTATAAGTACTATAGCTGTAGTATAACATCATTCATGCATTCATCATTTAAACAATAGAATGCTTTCTTCGATTGTTAGTATGGGAATTAATGTCATAGCTATTGTACAAAAAAAACATTACCTGCATAAGCGGGTTATACATGTACATGTATAAATTTTTTCTGCAATAGCTGCGACGTTAATTCCCGTACTAACAAACAAAGAAAGTCATTTTATTGTTTATATTTATATCCGTATATTAAAAAAAACATTCAAAGTAAAATTAAATTTGTTAAATATTGTATTATAGATATATATGTCATTGTATGCTTAATTAATGGAACAGCCAAGGCTCAAGAAATCTATGCAGGTGGCTTGCTCAGTGTCGTTTACTCACTGATAAATGGCAATGGTTTTTATATGAAACAAAGGAAATGATATTCAGTGGATGTAAATATTCATTCATTCATTCATTTGTGGTCCTTATCATAGTGTTTGTATTGTGTTCTTGTTTGTAGCGCGTACCGTGTCACGTGATTGTGTTTGGATGGCACGTGATTGTCTTGTGGAGTATTGTGTATTCCTGGATGAGAGTGGTAGAACCAGTATGTGTGGGGTGTGGTTGCTCTGTGCGAATGTGTGAGTGCTAGTATAAATACTTATGTATGAGTAATTTCTTTTGATCTGGACATTACTTTAATTATTGGTCGATATTCTCCTGCGAGAAATTTTGAATGCAATTTAGCCTAAGATATTCCTTACAGAATCTTGGTTTTGAAACTGGTAAGAAATAATTTAATATTGATTTTAAACTATTGCAATTTAAATAAATAATTAAAATGTGAGTGAATTTGTATGAGTTTGTCATTTTCCTTTCAGGTCAGCTTTGTTTCACTTTTATTGATTCATCATTTCCTCGATATTTGTCATGAAATAAAATATTTGTGAACTTTCTCTTTCATCTATGGACTCGCCTTTTCTATTCCTATGATGGAAGATCCCGTCGCATTCTTATCATAATAATAGTAGAAAGCTTTTGCTTGTGTTTTTATTTCAGTTTGTGAGTGTGTTTTTTCTTTTCTTTTATTTATTCATTTATTTTATTTTGTTTTGTTTTTCTTTAATATTTTTTGTGAATATTTTCTAGTCTTTTTTTTTTCATAATGTTTCATATCGTAATACCGTGTTTCTTATTTTTAATACTTGACAATGTGATGATTTATTTTTTTTGTTTTGTTTTTGGCTCTTTTATATTTGTGTATATATAATCATGATTGAGGGCAGAGAATTTTATTAATCAGAAAACTGCTTGTCTTGTATTGAAAAAGATTCTCAACTTTTTTTTTTCGATAATACATACGTACATGTAAACATTAAATTGAAATATTTTCTTTACATTCATAGGTCAAGAGGAAACCCTGGTAAAAAGAACTGAATCATCGCCTTCCCTTGCATCAAAAACATCATCAACATTAAAGAAAAAAGAAGATATGATGAAATATACGGATGGTAATTTATTACACTAAAGACTCAAATATCAAAGAAATACCACCAAATTTATTCTCCATTAAAACACAAACCTCATCAAAACAATTTCAGATCAGAATCACATATAAAATGTTTAAAAAATATGTAAAACAAGAGAAATACAAGATATTCATTATTTTTTCTAGTTAGATATGGATTTTTTTTCGAGAGTGGGATAGGATTTTTTTTAAAATTCTGTCTTATGAGTGATGTCTTAGTTGAGCTGTTTAGATGTCATAACTTAGTGATGTGAGATAGAAAACATTGTAAACAGGAATTTTAACAACATATTTGGAGAAACATTTTCAGTTTTAGTCTCAGCATGGATACTGTAACTAAGGTTCCAGATATTATAATCAAGATTGTAGAAATACCCCCATAACTGTTTGAATTTGCAATTTGTCAAAGACTAATAATTTAAAAAGGCACCTTTGATCAAAGCACCTGTATTCTTTTTGTGACTACGAGTTTTTTTAAAGACACAAACCATTTCATTTTCACATCATCTTTATTGAACAAAATGACAAGTGAGTGTGCAGGTAAGAAATAACCAACAATGTAGAGCAAGGTTATTTTCTATCATGTCAACACACTATAACTCTTATGGAAGTTTTTTTGTTATTTTTGAGACCTCGAAAGAGACATTGGAATTTCTTGCAAGCTTCTCTCATTTTAGTGTGAGTTGATACATGTATATGCCTTTTTAAATGGTATACTTGTCTTTAAAAGTACACAACTATCCATAATTTATATGTTTGAACGTTTGTTTTATAGAAACCCAAGGCTCCTGAACTAAAATATGAATCCCTGCACACTTCACAGTTGCAATCGTTTGTACAGTATTTGTTTCATCATGGCTCTGTGATGTCTTTTGTAAAGATAATTGCATGTAATTGATTTTTTGCAATGTAATTGGAATTTTTGTCCATCGGAATGTGACAGCAGTTGCATCTAAAAATGGCCTTTAAGTTTGTCTTTGACAAATGGTACGTAGAATAGTTGTACGTTATTTCTACTAAATTAAACATAAAATTGTATGAGAAAATGACCTTGATGGATTTTTTTACATGATCAACTTACACTCGAAATTAACCTGTCTTTTTATTTGAATATTAAAAAAAATTCAAGCTGTCCAAATCTTTTGCTACAAACATGTACAAGACTATAATGTATATTGATTAGTCAATCAATTTATTGTTTTGTATTTTTTTCAAGATGTGGGAACAGAGAAGACTAGTCCAGATGATACAGTTGCTATAAATAAAACTGGGGGTACTTCATCAGAGGAAACAAATAGAAAAACATTGGCTGTTGTTGATGTTCAGTCTGGTGTGGACTTTAAATATATTTACATATATTCGTATATGCATGTATACATATAAGGTAAATCAAAAAATGTTTATTTTTTTTTTCTTTCTATTGATGCTTTGATCTGGTTTGTTCACAGACAATGAAAGACAACAGAGACAAAAGAGTGGTGATTCAACATCATCATATTCAGCTTTTCAGTGGCCAGGTTTGTTTTTTATTTTCTCTTTAGGAGAAAGTATTTTACCTGGATGAGGGACATTAAACAATAATTAATCAATCCTTTGATTGTTTTCATGCATTTTTGGAATAAAAAGATCTCACAATGGCTGAGATCTAGCGAATCTGGGGGATGGCAAATCTCTGTAATCTTTTTTTTTCTTCAGAATTTTATTTATTTCTCTGTGCTTATATGCAGCATTGTCAGGTGCAAGAAAATTACTCTGGGGGCGGTATTTGGACTTCCTTTGCAGGAAAACTGTTTACCTTTCCTCAGTGGAATTTGAACATAAAAGTTACCATTGATGGTTCTTTCTTAGGGTGTATGTACATGTTTTACTGGACCTATTGAAAAAAAAATGAAAACTAATAAAACATGCATGGGGCCCTTGTTTCTCTTTACAATAATAAGAACGATAGCTTTTTATTTGATTCCACATTTTACTATTGATCTTCCTTTTTGGTTATAAAAAGTGCACCCATGATTTGTCATCCATCACGCAAATTTAACAAATTTTCTATTTTGTTAAAAATATTTGTTTTTAAATAGAGCGATGGTACATTTAATGCGTATTTTTCCCTTAGGCAATTTTAAGAAAATAAGGCACCTACAGGTATCTAATAGAAATATTATTATATTCATTTCCATTGTCAGAATTCTATAAAATATTATGACAATGAAATGCTCAGTGTTCTAACCAAGTCTTCGGATGTAAATCTGACATTTTCAGATATCATGTTGCACATAGCATCGATTATTTTTGGTGTCCTTACAAATTTCAATCGACCATTTTGACTTTTATATTTTAGCTCTCCTTTTTTACTTTCGAATTTCTGAATCAATCTGAAAACTATACAACGTTAAAGACTATTCTTTCCACATACAAAAATCGCATCTTTAATATTAGCTCTTCGGCGATTTGTGTGAAGAAGCACAGTTTTCATATAGGCTCTCATTTTCATCTTTTTGGCAGAGATCATTTTAAACAATTTTCAGCTCAGTGTAGTGACCATGTATACTTTAAAAGTGGATTTCTTTGCGAGGACAATAGGGAAAATCATGGGGTTTTCTGTGATAAGTTGCTCTTTAATTGAACGTTTCAACTGTGAAAAAATAAAATTAAATAGATCTATATTTACTATGATATACTGTTTGTTGCATTATCTATTGAACGACCCTCGTACATGTAATCATTCTGTCCCTACCCATTTTTTTTTTAATTCGAGCAAAAAATGGCCTTGGTGCGGGATATTGGTCTAATTATTGAAATTTGAAAATTTTCCATGTATGGAGACATTGAGTTTTAAAACCAGTGCCAAAAATTGTGCATCATCCTATATATTGAGACCCAGGATCTGACCATTCCTCTATTTTAAGGTCGAGGTTATAAGGGTAAATTGTGAATTACTGTCACAGTGGAGACCAAGATCCAGGTTGATACTAAACGTCATATTACTTATCATATTGATATGAATTGTTAAAGATTTTCAAAAGATTTCAATAAATAAACATAGATATTGTCATTTACTAATTATTGAATTATAAGATTCTTATATTCATCAGAATGAGTACAGGACAATTTAAGAAACGTTTTTCAACTCATTAGATAGTGGTTCGTATCCTAATGCGTCAGTTACTTCTTGTCGTGGTCAAGGTGTGAAAATAACCTAAGGGATTGGAATAACTCGTTTATTGCCAAATGATAATTCGATAAATTGAAAAAAAAGTTCTCATGGACTGTTTTTTATTTTGCTAAACAATTAACATTTTCACAAAATAAACGTAAGAAACTAACCTAGTACACAGTTATTAAAATGATGGTAAATATTCAGTATCTTGAAATTTTTTCATTACGACATATTTACTACTTTTTTTCCGTATAGAATCAACACAAATTTGTGCCTCATTATTAAAGGGTTATATATGCCCAATTAACGAGTACAGTGTGAAGTAAAATTTACCAAAATAATATTGTGCTCAATCTTAGTGTAAACTATGGAAATTCAGAGATTATAAACACAAATTGTTTTGACTCTTGAAATGAATTTGAATTGAACATATTTTATTGATAAAGAGTCAAAAGGATTAGAAACAAGTTTAAAAACTTAGATAGTCTTCTCCTAATACAACATTTTGTAAAATTGCCAAATTAAAATAGATGTATATATATGGTCTACTCATATACATAGTAGTTTCTATAATAGAAAGAAAATAGATCTTCTTTAAATGTACAAATATAGATTTACATTGGTAAAAAAAATTAAGCGCTTTTTGAAAAGCGACCACATTCATTTAGAAAAGTTTGAATAATCTTGAAAAGTTCAGCATTTTTGTTCTATAGTAAGAGAATCATCATCCCATAGCATTAAATGTATATCTATAACGTATGAAGTATTAAATGACAATAGCTTATTCATTAAGGAATTCCTTGCTTTTGCATAACTTTTACAAGCGGAAAACAGATGGTATGCATCTTCTATTAGTCCACATGAACAATTTGGACTGGTTATTAAGTTACAGCGAAATAAGTCAGAGTTTAAAATACAATATTGTTTTAATCTTGTATGAATTATGTTCAAAAACCTTTTTTCAATACGAAAAATATTTCGTAGGTTGTACAATATTGTGCAGACCGTTTTGAAAAATTTTCATAGAAGTTGCCGCCCAAGCTTTAAGACTAAGTGAATTCCACTTTCTGACAGTATCAGGAATAAATGATTTGTTAAATAATTCTAATCTGTATTTTGGCAAAGATTAGTTTCAGGAATTCCTATTATTGTATCCTGAAATATTGCCTCTTGTATCAGGTAATAAACTTTGTATATATTAAGTAGGTACTAAATTATTGTGCATTTTATACATTGTTTTTAGTTTTGCTCTGTTTCTTCTGTATTCAAAGGTTCCAAACCTGTTTTCAAATATAATGATTTTTTTGAAGCAGTAATTGTAAGCCTAGTGATTATTCTTGCAGCAAATAATTGAACTTGTTCAAGATTTTCAATGCATGTCTTTGGCATCCAGACCAAACTTCAACAGCATATTCTTGTTGTGGCCTAATAAAAGATAAATACATCTGGGATAGAATATCTCTTGACACAGTAAATTTCGGCTTTTTCAGTAACCCCCGTTTTTTGCAGGCTTTCTTTTCAATGAGGTTTTGGCTATTATCAAACAAAAGTAATATTTTTGAGATAATAAAGCAAAGTATCACCAGAAGTTTTGACTTCTCATTTTGTCTTTGCAGTATCGCGTGGAGCAACGTCAGCCAAGATAATTCAACCTTCGGAGAGGCACATCAAAGTAAATTTTAAAGATACGATTATTCTTCTGGGAGAAATAAGAAGTATTGTTGAGGTTCAAGGTGTTTTCTGGCAGAAAAGAAAGGAAGAGAAATGGGAAAACCTTAATATTTTAGATGAAAAATACAAAGGAAGCCGGGGTGATTTATATGTTCCCTGTTTGATCATTAACAATTGTGGAAGTGAAGATTCGGGCGTTTATCGCCTTTTTGTGAAGAGCAGTGAAAAATGTGTACCAAGCAGGGAACGAAACGTTTGTGTTTTTAAAGGTATTGAAGGGTAATTCATCAGTAACTTTTATTTAAAAAAATGAAAAGTTGTTTTTTTTTTTCCAAACACTAACAGAAGAAAAATATTTTTTTTCTGAATAACCTTCAAAAGTAGGAAAACTGTAAGGATTTTTTTATTTGTTTAAAATTATTTTAATAATGTTGACGGTCTCAGACTAGTCATTTGATTTTTTTTTTAATTTTGGCAGCCTTTCATTTGTTTTGAATTATTATTCATTAACAACCTATTATTTGTTTTAGAGGATGTGTAAGTTAGTCTCATGGTAAATGTTGAGCAAAAATATTACCATTTGAATCAACAGTCTTTCAAATTTCTTTGTCATTTTAACTTTACTTGTTACTTTCATTCTTTTTACCATATAGGCAAAGAATCTGCACCGCTGGATGACAAGCTCAAAGTCCAAAAAGAAATTGCCCAGTTTCTTGTACTTTTGACAGTGCGTACCTTCGTGTCATGCAGAATTAAAGGGAGATTTGTTGACTTTTTGAAGAGCGTAAAATCGTCAGTTGAAGATAAACTAGATGACGAGGAAAAAGAGGAGATAGAGAAAGGTGAATATATTTGAGTTTTAAAATTATACTTACATGAAAATCGATGTGTTTTGTTGTAATAATTTGATAAATTTATCACTAATCATTATCTTCACTTTTTACATTGAATGAAAGGCTCACACAAATGCATGTGCATATTGGTAAGAATAGGATAAATTAATCATATTACATTTATACGTTGTAATGATATCTTCAATAATGATTTCAGATTTGTAAATATGTTAATAACAACAAACAATAAAGAGAATAGAATTGAGGCATATCATATTCGTAAAATGAAGTCTTTTTTTACACTTCTATAAAACACATTCAGTAAGGCAGAATGCACATAAAACGTTTTCTGATATTTAAGTTCTCTTAAAATTGGATTGGAAATTGATGTATTTTCAGACATTGAGAAACTACAAAAAACACATAGAAAACTAAAAGAAAATAATTACATATTCAAATATTCAGAAAAAACATCATAAAAAAGATGAATGTACAAAATGACTTAATGTTTTTTAAACATAAACAAGTAATTTGGAAGACATTTTTGACATTTCAGTTTTAAATGGAACATGGAGAATTGAAGATCTTTCGTTTGGAATTCTGTACAAACTTCTACAGTTTGTCCTCCAGATAGATCCTCCTGCTAGGGGATGGAATGTAAATCCTGAAAACGATAAAAAATCTCAACCAGATGATCTTGAGAGATGCCATCAATATTTAGAACAAATTAAGAGTCCTACCATTTCCCATGAAAAATTGTGCATTATGTGGAATACGTTGACCGAGGTAAATAATGTTAGATTTCTTCAGGTGTATGTAGTTGATTTTTCCATTTCATTTTATTTGATGAAATGAAGAAGACAGTTTAACAATAATTGATTTGTCTTCTTGTCTGTCCGTTTGTATGTTCATATTTAGTTTTTTTTTAATCTTCAAGATGGTACCGCATCTACAGTTTCTATTAAAACATTTTTACACAGCTAAATAGAGATCTACTTGTCCATCTCTGATTTTAATGTACAATGTGGTCATGGTATCTAAACACTAAACAGGACAATCTGTTACACATTTCGATATTAATAAGTTTTTCTCTTGATTTCAATACAGATTTAAATTTGTTTATTTAGGATTAGGGTAAACATAGAAAAAATAAAACGTTACAACTTATTTAAATGGGTTATAAATTTGATGTAATATAGTGTATGTTTAATTAGAAATAGTAATGTATTAGAAAACTTCATCTAAAAGATTAGCAATATACATGTACATGCAAATATGTTGAACATTGTACAATAAAATAAAGTCGTATGTTCTTCAGCTTCGTATAAGACACAACGAAGAATTTGAACAATATACTATTCAATTAGGCAAGTGATCCATTGTCCTCAATATATTTTGCCACATTGCATTGCTGAAGACATGGGTATGTTGACTATCTGTTTCTACGTTATTACGTTTAAATTATATATTTTCAGGCCTTACATCGAATTATAAAAGAATGTGATGAAATACATCTCATAGTGGCTGCCTTTAGAAAGATGGTATACTGGACAACAGTTGGATGTACAATTACAGCATTGATGCCGGAAAATATACTAGGTGATTTATACAATGCTTGATGTTTAGGGAATGATATTTTCTTTTAAATTTTCTCATAACCTTAGCAATAAATACAATTGTTATACTCCTATAAATATCTTTCTATATATTTATTACAAATTAAAAAGTCCAACAGAGTAAATGTTTTTTCATCGCTCTAGCAGTTTCATTATTGACCGGTCTGTCAGTCCAACATAGGAATTGTTAGACCGCAATGTCACTGTTACGTCAAGTTATTAGTCGTCGTTCAATATCGGCGACACAGAAATAGCCGAAGTTTCAAAAGTTAACGCATATGCTATTTGAAAGTTGGCGTCATGGGGAAAATGATTTGTGATAAATAATTTCCGTGTTATAATAATTTAATGATATATTTTTTTCTTTGTTGCTGTCATTTTTATTTAAAAAGCCAAACTATTACTTATAAAGGAATTGTTTAATATTATGAGTAAATCTGTTCAAAGGTTTAAATTTTAGTGTTCTATCTTAAGTGAAGGGTATAACAAAACAGTTATAGACTGGGATTCGGGCAACATATGATTTGTTGGACCTGAAGGTGAAAATGTTGCCCTTGGCCTGCGGCCTCGGGCAACATTTTCACCTTCAGGTCCAACAAATCATATGTTGCCCGAATCCCAGTCAATAACTGTATAGTATGGCATATGATACGTGTAAGATTTGATGATAAGTATAGCGCAATCGAATCTTCGAGACAAGTGTTCAGATACATATACATGTGTCATGAAAGTGTATAAGTAAATTACTTTCCTGCAATAAGAGTACAGGTGTGTTATACGATGTTTTATGCGGAAAAGACACATCATTATGTAATAATATATTTTCCTCTCATTTGTCATCCCATGCATAACATCAAGAAACAACATTTTCTTTAATTCTTATACATGTATAATTACATCCACCTTTTAAGTCTCAAACATAGTGTAACTAATTAGTGAATTTTAACTTTAGTTCAAAATCGAGCACAAATAGAGGGATGGATAGAAGATGACCTTTTATTTGAAGAAACAAGAGCATCGCAAAAAGCAAGAGAAACTGTAAGATCAAAGCCAATAACAATATTGATAGGTGGACGAGGTTCTGGTAAGACGTTTTTAGCAAGACACATCGCACTTGAGCATCAATTAAAAGGATGGGAAATTGTTTCGATATCATCCCCTGAGGAAATTAGAAGATATGGGGATATGGACAAAAAGCAGATGTTCATACAAGATGATGCTTTTGGTGTATATGGTATTGATCAGGCCGCAATCAACAAGTTTGACACATGGAAAGAAGCTGTGTTAAATGTCTTGCACAAATGTTCGAAATACATTATCACTTGTCGGAAGACAATTTTTCTTGCATCTGAAATAAAATCAATTTTGTTTGAATACAAGTTCGACTTGGAGTCCGATGAGCATTGTTTAACAAATGATGAAAAAGAACGTCTCCTTTATCGCCACTGTGAAGAAAAGATGGTCGCTGCATCTGTGTATAAAAATGTTCAACTTCCATCACTTCCCTTCGTGCATATGTTTCCATTGCTTTGTCACTTGTTTGCGTCCAATCCACAAGATGTTGTCTCGTTTTTCAATAACCCTTTTGCACATTTGCTAGAAGAGTTTGGGATGATGTATGAGCGTGATTGCAAGAAAGTGGATTATACGTCATTGGTGTTATGTGCTGTAAATAATGGAAGTATTTCTATGGAAAATTTTCCCAATAATGACATTCGAACAGACATTTTAGACAGCTGTGGTTGTAATTTGGGTACTCCCAAGAGAGAAATAATTGATTCACTGGAACGAATGCTTGGGACTTACACAAAAAGAGTAGGCGAAGAAATTTTATTTATACACGACGCCATTGGAGAAGTAGCAGTTTGTCATTTTGGAAAAAATAATGCAAATCAAGTCCTCAAGCGTTTTTCCATCACTTACATTGTAAACTATGTATCCTTTTCGGTTAAACCCGAGGAAGACCTAAAATTTGTCATTGAAAAAAAACATTACGGTTTGCTTGCAGATCGATTAATGGAGGATATCAGATGTGGAAAACTCTATGAGATTTTTATGAGCAACATATTCGACTATGATGGATTTCTTACAACATTTGTGGCTAAAATCAAAAGCATGGATATGCCGAGGTTTATGACGACCTTTATTGAAAAAATACCAGAAGATTCTTCCTTTAAGGAGAAAATAGACCTTGTGACCTCATGCAAAGCAGAAGCTCACAAGGCATCTGAGATTTTGAAACACTTGCTGATTCAAGATACCTATATTGAAAATCAGTCTGAGAATAGATCCATAAAAACTATCAGCTGGCTTGTATATTACGCTCGTCTAGAGATATTGCAAGCTGTAATAGATCGTGCAAAAGATGGAGTATTGAACTTGCTAATGGGAACTTCTTTAGAAGAGGATGCACGCCTTTTGGTTCTTGCTTGCTATAGAGGAAGTAGAGAAGTTCTTAAATTTTTGCTGCCGTATTGCCAAGAAAATAGCAAGAACATCTGTCCGCTGAAAAGCAACACATTAGATACAAATTTCCATCGTTTTTATACACCCCTAACTGCAGCAGCCAGCTTAGGAAAAAATGAATTGCTTCAGTGTTTGATGGATCTTAGGACAACCACAGGGGCCAACATAAATTCTACTGATGGATGGGGCGATACTCCACTGCTGGCTGCGATCAGGGAAAATAATTTGGAAACTGTCAAATTCTTGGTAGAAAAACTAAATGCTGACATCAATTTCCAAGCATCTGATAAAGTAACGGCTTTGTATATTGCTTCTGAAAAGGGCCAGGAGGAAATAGTCGATTATCTTTGCTCTAAGAATGCAGTAATTACGAAAGCAAAAAGTCCTCGCCATATTGCAAATAGGAATAAGCATTACAAGATTGCAAAAAAGCTTGAGACATATGAGAAAAAAAAGATTAATTTTAATGAAAGTGTTTGAAAACCTGAAACTTTTTTATTGGTCCAGCACCAAGCCTTTCTTTTGCTATCTAGAATTAGAATTTTATATTTTCTATATTTTGAAATTTTTAAGGGTTACATAAGTCGGACATTAACTTTTCACCTAGCAATGAAATCTAATACAATTTCCGTCTTTAGAATATAGCAAAGAATCTTCTTAATGAAAAACTTATCAATGGGTCTCTTCCTGTTTCAAAAATTGCAGAACAGATTTATCATTAAATCTTAAATAGCCTAAAAATAATAAAAGGAGACCCTGCTGACATAACCAGCCTCCCTTCCCCTTAACCATTAAAAATTGAGAGCAGGGAACATAGAATTAACTTGTACATGTTGTAGGTGACCTGAACAATACATGTCTTTACAACAAGTAAATTTCTGAGTGCACACAAAATAAAGTAGTATCTGGCAGCCATGATTGAAGAATATTCAAACAAAATCCATGTCAATAATAAAAAGAATTCTTGCATTCGTTTTGCGGTCCTACCTTACTTTACGTGATTTTATGAAATCGATCACTGTTCGTTGTCTTTACCTGTTGTTTTCTTTAGAATGTTAAACGGTCATATTTGTCGAAATTATAAACTCTAGATCTTGACAAGTATCTATAGACATGCATTTGATTTCTGGGCATTTAGACAAAGAAAAAAAAAATTGTCACTCGTGAAAGTAAAATCATAATGTCTGGGTTATTAGCTTATGAATGAGAATTTATAGCAGTCTGTTTGAAACAAAGATGGATTCTCTTTAAGAGATTATGGAGAGTAGGACGACATTGTTCTTGTGTGAGAATTGGAGGGTAGGTCGAGTTAAGCATCCTCTGTCTTAAAGAAATATATAATGTATGCTTAGGTTTACAACATCTACTTTCCATATGTATTATCAATATAAACAGTGTGGAAAGTTTTGGCATTCAAAACACCGTAACACTGACCCGAAAGTCAAAATGTTAAGCTATGACTTTTCTTTTGACGTCGCAAACGTTGAACAAATGAAATGTCATAAAACGAAAATCACGCTCACTTTGAAGAGCATGGCTGTTTCTTAGATTTAGATGTAGGAGCATTGAAACAGGCATAACACACTACATGTAGTATTCAAAGAAACGATATTTTCTATCAATCTATCATGAAATGTAAATATAAGTATTGAATTGAAAATATTGGGCGTTCAACGTGTGAAAACACGGACGATTATGCAGATAAATTTTCTAAATGCTCTAACGTGCATTGTGATGAGCACAGCTGTGTGTGTGTATAGTGACACGAATGTCAAAAATTTAGAATTCAATTCTTCAGTGAATATAGTCATTTTAGAAACATAACTTGAAACGATTAAGCTAGTAAAAGTTTTCTTCTCTTTTAAAGACAATACTTCCTGCATCCTTGCAATGCCAGGAGCCCCGAATCAACACATTGCCGTGAGACCCCTGGCCAATTTCATTCCATGATAAAGGGCTTGCTTCTCACATTGAAAAGCAGTAATCAAATTAAAGCTTTCGTAAATATTTAGATAGTGTAAACAGAAAGGATTCAGTTGACACCTGAAATACACGTGTTACAAGTTATCATAGAATGGCTTAATGTGGTTGGTTGAGAGATAAGAAAATCAAGATTGGTATTTTTTCTTAGAGACATCGCTACAGTAAGCCCATGAACTATTGAATGAAATTGGCCAGGGGTCCCATGGCAACGTGTTGACTCGGGACCCCTGGCATTGCGAAGGTGTACTTCCTGCTTACAATTTTTAAAATTCCTGTCATTATTTTTTGGTTCAAATTTTTAAAGTATGGTATTGGTTGAGACATCATTCACTGAAAGAATAGAAATCATATGATGTTCATCACAATAGACGACATTATTTTCATATCTGTATGATTTTACGTTGTTGGTAACTGTTCTTGTGTATGGCTGGATTAAAAGCACATTTATTTCATCTACATTAACAAATCGGCATCTGGAATACGAATTTTAAGATTTGTCGTATAAATTTTAAGAAACAATTTTTTTAAAAATCTTGAAGAAACATCATTAATATTTGATTGACTTGAATTTAAGTAATTATAGTTTAATTTTAGAGATAGATTATATATTACTACTTAAGATTTAAATACTAAACAATTTTAAAATGTGTTATTTCATTTTAATATACTTGAATGTTTTTGTAATTGTAATGGTTTTTGGAACAAATGAAAACGTGTTTTTGTTTGCGTATTTTGCTTGTATTGTAATATATATTGTAAATTTATAAGGCTTATAAAATGAATAAAAAATGAAGGTAGAGTTTGCATATGTGCTCAGTTTAAAAGCATGGTATAAGAACCTTCTACATAACATTTGACCACTCTGAATAAATCAGAATGATTTTATTCAAATAGAAAAAAGGTGAGAAAAGAATAATAAGATTTGCACGAAGCAGGTTTGAGTACTATTGGAAATCATTCCTATGGATGGAGAATGAGATCGTATAAATCGAGGCCCCGTCTGGCAGTAGCTATAGGTACTGGCACAAAAAGATACATCATTGGTCATAAGTCTCAAATACAGGATTAATTTAAAGCATTCAACCTGTAATTGGTGGTGTCCTAATACGAATGAAAAATTCTGAAAGACGTTAAGCAAGCAAACAGACAAATATATTTTGCATTTTTAGCTCACCTCGATGAAGTCGAGATCAGCTTATGCTATACCCCCGGTGTCGGCGTTAGCGTCGGCGTCTTGGTCAAAGTTTTAGGTGCAGGTCCATTCCCAAGTAACTATAAGCCCTACCTGGACCAAACTTGCATGGATGCTGCATCTAGGGATTGACACTACTAGACTTGCTTCGGATGCTGAATCTGACCTACATTTTCCAGATGATTGATTTATGTTGTTTTACGTCCCGTCCGAGAATTTTTCACTCATATAGGGACGTCACCATATACATGAGAAGAGCTTCATATTTAGACCTTTACTCGGCACTCTGGGCCATTGAGCAGTCAGGGTTCTTTATCGTGCCAACGCCCACCGTGACACGGGGCCTCGGTTTTTAAGGTCGCACCGAAGAACCCGCAGCTTTCACTTCAAAGTGCAGAGCGCTTGGCGAAGGAACAGTTGTTACCCTTTTTTATCGACTTCCAGATGATTGACCAGGTTAAAGTTTTTGGAGCAGGTCCATTCCAAAGTGACGAAAAGCCCTACCTGGGCCAAACTTGCATGGCTGATGCGTTTAGGGATGGACACTACCAGACCTGCTTCAGATGCTGGATCTGACCTACATTTTCCAGATGAAAGACCAGGTTAAAATTTTTGGAGCAGGTCCATTACCAAGTAACTATAAGCCCTACCTGGACCAACTTGCGTTGATGATGCATTTAAGGATGGACACTACCAGACTTGCATCGGATGCTGGATTTGACTTACATTTTCCAGATGAGTGACCAGGTTACATTGTATAGTTTTTGGAGCAGGTCCATTACCAAGTAACTATAAACCCTACCTGGATCAAACTTGCAAGTTCTGAAGAGATATCATAAGGGTTGCTAACAAAAAAAAGCAAAAAAAAAAAAAAAAAAAAAAAAATCAACATCCAATGACATCGAATCTGATCTGACTAGCAGTGTGAGCATTATGAGAAAATATCTGGTGGATCATGATTATATAGAGTAACCTTTGGAGTTTTGTACTCTGATTTGTTATGAGATGCATTAATTATTTCAAAAGAATGCGAAGCATATGAATCAAAATAAATAAAATTGCAAGGAAAACAGAATTATTATCTTTAACATCTGAAATTAGTCAATATCAGTAGATATGCAGTAAAATAGTACATGCACAAACAGTCTAGGTACATGTAGCATTAGACATTTAGAGACCAGCGCCTAATTCAGTCTGAATAAAAAGATCAATATCTATAAATCTTCTGCTTTCATATATATGTTTATACGGATAACTGTTTGGGAGATGTTTGGCACGGTACGTACGATGTCTTCTTCAAGTTTAATCACAACACATTCATTTGGAATTAGAATGGTCATTTATCGAGGAAATGAATCACAAAATTTTCAACACAAAGAAAAATGCTGCTAAAAACATTACTTCACTAATCAGAAGAAAAAATTCTGTCATATACAAATAGTAGTATTTAACAACTTGACAACCCAAAAGGAAAACATTATGGAATAATTTTTACAGAAAAATGATTTTGACAAAACAATACAAAAAATCATAAAATTAAAGTTCTTAAACGTGACAAAGATGGGACAATTTCCGCCACATATGAAGACCGGGAAGCATTCATCACCCTTTCCAGTTTGTGACACATTTTAAACAAGACGTTTACGACAAAACAAAACAGGAATCAGAGAAGTATAACAGAGATAGTCTGAACGAGTTTTACTACGAGATTCAGTTAGTATCATAAATACACTCTTTTAATCAAAATATTCATGGTTACATATATGTATTACGCTTTAAAGAAAACAGTTTGATGAATGATGTAAGGACCAGAAACCTCCTTTTTTCATGGTTCGAAACTCAATGGCCGTCAAAACACTGCTTAATTACATTAAAAATTGGTATTTATTACAATTTTTTTATACAGGATTTCTTACTTTTCTGGAATTAATTTGTTTGACTTACATCTTACAGACGTAATTTTAACAATGCATTATACAAAAGGAATCCATACCATTTTTTCCGCTTAGCTATTCCAACGCTACCAAAATTCCGTTATTTTCTAATATAAAATATACATGAATAAAAAAAATATTGTTGAGGGGACAAATTGTAAGAAAAGTATATATATATATATATATATATATATATATATATATATATATATATATATATATATATATATATATATATATATATATATATATATATATATATATATATATTTAAGAATTCACAGGGTTTTTTTTTTTTTGTTTTGTTTTTGTTTTTTTGTCATATAATTTTTGAATTTTGTTTTTCTTAAATTAGTCCTCTTTGCCTATTTCTCAAATCTATGAAATTATGTCCGGTCACTTGGAAAACATTTTTCGATCCAACATTAACACAGATCATAGGTTTCTAGTTATAACTAGACACGAGTATCTGTTACATCTAGATATCTATTTGATAAAAAAAAATATCGTTAGCTCATCGCAATACAAATTTTTACACAATATTAAGTCAGAGATTTCTACATATAACTCGATAACATGATTTTGTGTTAAAAGCTTTTTTTATTATTAATCTAAGAAAAATTCGATCAAATAGTACAAATTTTCGCTTTTCACATATAGGAACCAAATTACGTTCATTATTAAATAATTCCTTTTTTCAAAATCTAGACTGCATTTGACCTGAAATTCAGAAAAAAAGAAGTGGTAGTCTATCTAAGATAATATTACATTTGTATGATGTAATTTATACGAAAGCCGGATAGGCTCAATTTTGACAAGAATAAAAAAAATTAATCGTTATAACGAGACAGTTTTCTCGTTATAACGAGTTAGGATCTCGTTCTAATGAGATAATTATCTCGTTATAACGAGATAGTTATCTCGTTATGACGAGTAAGTATCTCGTTAAAATCGAGATAATTATCTCGTACAGACCCTGAAACGTGCTACTAACCCAAAAAAGCGTGTGACTTTCGTGCGCTTTTCGTTTCGTGCAAACCGTGTAGCGTTTCGTGTAAACCGTGCAGCGTTTCGTGCAAACCGTGTAGCGTTTCGTGTAAACCGTGCAGCGTTTCGTGTAAGCTTCAAAGCGTTTCGTGCAAACCGTGTAGCGAGCGTGCGAGAAGCGTGTGAGAAACGTGCGACTTTCGTGTAAGAACCGTGTGAGAAACGTGCGACTTTCGTGTAAGAATCGTGTGAGAAACGTGTAGGATTCATTCGGAAGTCATTTTATTTTAAATATGGCTATTGATGGATCAACATGTCATTCTGTGTTGTTTGTATCTAATATTGTTCGGATATATCTTACCGGTGGTATTTTAAGAATAAAAAAATACGGAAACAACAAAATAAAATTACTGGGTAATGTATTACAAATTTGTTTTATTTTCTTTCTTTTTTATCTAAATATAGATGGACAGAAAATGTGTTTAAAGTAACTAATTATATGCATATTAAGGAATTTGATTCAATACATTTTTTTAAACGGAGCAATACTGAACATTTTTTTAAAGAAAATTCCTCAGGAATTTGGTCTTGTCCTTTTCATTCATTTATTTGAATATCTTTACCATTTTACAATTATGGTATATAAAAATTACAAGAACATATGGGTGATTAATACAAAATGAAGATAAATAAAGCAGGCGTGAAAAATAAAATACAAAATTTAGTGCATTGTTATAAATGTGAAGTATGTGAATTTTAGGCCGGGGAGCAAAGTTAATTTATTTTCTTTATAAACGAACATAATTTTCTTATATTACAAGATTGTGATACAAATAATTTTAGAAACGATTAGTCATTTATAGTCTTTTTATGCAGAAAACTGGTTAATTAATAATTGTCATATAAATGAATTATAATTCACATGTATCGGCAAAATATTTCCGGAGGGGAGAGGGGGTGTTCAAATGAAAACACAAACTTTGAGTTTTTGTTGTAAACAACTGTTTTATAGATTATTTTCTTATAAAAGAAATTACTGCTTTTTTCGGGGTGCGCCCGAAGCACCCCTTAAAATATATTGTAATTTTCTGTACACTTCTTACGACTGCATGTGATCAAGGTCATTTACAACAGCGATCACGGGCTCCGCGTGCCGGTGTACCGGGAACTGAAAACTTGTTCTGCTATTTTCTCTTGTCTCTTGAAGACACCCGACAATAACGATTGGATTTTAATTTTTGAAATTAAATGTTTTTTAATAAGTATTTCATGGGTTCAAATAAATACGCGTGGATTTTTATTCTCTTAAATTTATCCGATTGTCTGTAAACAGTGAATTAATTTGCGAGACTGGTGTATTCGTGAATTAAAAAAATGTAAAGAAATAAATCATGAGTAATTATATATTAGTTGTTTTATTAATCACGCAGCTCTAGAGCATAAATTTAGTTTTTTAGGACATTGCACATGTAAACATGTATACTGAATGTATTGTTTAGAGCCGCGACTATTGATTACATTTTTTTTTTGTCTAGACGGGGTTTAAAATAAGGGATTTTACACCTTGGTGGTGGGTACCGGGAT